AGGGTTTCTGTTTCTTCCTTTCCTCCCTCCCTTCTCGCCAATGAAGCTTGGTTGTAAACTAAAACGGTCGCTAGTCACGCTCCACCAACCTACCCGTGGTGAGAAGTACCCTGCTTAAACTAGACTAAGTTACCGTAGATGATTTACGCTAGACTATAAACTCAGTTTTTTTTTTTTCTAGATCGAACTTCTTTTTTTTTTTTACGTCAACGAACCACAACCTTGGATACAAATGCAACACAGATCACATAACCCAAAAACTTCCCTCGATCGCAATCCGCATCTCTCTTTCCCCATCCCCACCCCAACCACAGACATCCATTTTTCCCTATGTGTTGCCCCACTCACGAAGAAGCACATGAGTAAAAGAACCCAAATGCAACACACATAGAACCCCCCCTCAAGATACCCAATCAAAACGCCGAGTCAAGACACCCCATCAAGACATCCCATCCCACACCCCACCCCCCCCCCCCTTCAATCACAACAGCGTATCGACCATGTACGGGGCCTCTACCCAGAGAGCCCCGCCTTCCACATCGACATCGTCCCTCTCCTAGTCCACCAAATCTACGTTAATCCCCCCCATGGAAGACGCCGCTCGAAGCAGGATGACACGGGCTTGCGCACGTTGTAACGCCACCCCGATGAGCGCCTTCAGTGACCCTAAAAGATAAGCCGAAAACACAGAGTCGTCCTCTCGACAAGCCCCCCGCGACACAGCTAGCCCCACGTGCGCATCCCCCTGCTGACGAAGCCACCGCTGAAAAGGACCGCCGAGACACCCCCACGTCTCAACTATCAAAGGGGTGAACTGCACGCCCCGGTTGCGTGCAAGCAGAGGCGCGTAATCACTCGTTTTGCGACGCTCCCACTCCCTTGCTGCCACACCTATTTGACGCCCGCACTGTCCCAGCAGTGATGGAGACAGCGATAGCGGGTCCGCGACGCTGATCTCTAGGGCGTGAGCCTCTCCAGCCATTGGTCGTCGCACCGCCACATCAACCCGCTTCCCCTGCAGCACCACACTATCCTCCATTGTCACCACCCCCCCCCGACGCCTTAGAGATCTTCGCCACCGCAAACTTCACCTCATCATGCACCCGAGATGGACCATGCTGGTGCTTGCATCTCAGGGCATGGTGCGGGTCTGCTGGGTCAACATACGCTGTGCCACAAACACACCTCCCCGCCACCTGCAGCTGCTGAATTGGGAGGCCAAGCCGTATAGCAGCAGCGATGCCCCACTCAGCCGCAGTGAATGTGAGATCTGAGTGAGCCGGAACCGCCGAAACCCATGCACCCGCCCCCGGGCCCTGAAGGGATGTGAAACGGGCCAAGGTAGCATCGTCACGAGCCAAGCGGCGTAGTGCCTGGAGCTCCTCTACAGCTAACTGCCGCTGCCGCGCCTGGAAAAGCCGAACAGGAGGGGCCGCTACACACAGAGGTAAGCCCGGTATCTCGTGGCGGATAGTCGCTGGCAGCTGCTCAAGAGCCTTGACAAACCACGGGTCAAGAAACTCTGCCCCTGTCGAAGTGGTGAGGTACTCTGCAAACATCGCCTCCTCACCCGCCACCCCTAACTGTGCAATGTCACGCGCGGCCTGCGCCCACCCACAAACATAGGACAGTGGGCTCAAAGAGGCCGCCGCCCGGATCCCGAACCCTCCGAGTCGCACAGGGAGATGCAGCTGCATGCGTGCGCGCCTAGACCAGTCGGGGTCCTGCTCCCAAGTGCCAGGTGGGAAAAGCTGCTCAAAGCAATCCTCTAAACAGCTGTCCCAATCCCTAAAAGCCTCAACCACCTCCGGACGCGGCGGCATAGTCCGGGCGAGGTACATCGGCCGCGCTGAAACTGCAATGGCGAGGAGGTGTGAAGCCATCTGAGGGTGGTCGAGCAATTGGAGCCATGGCAGTGGCGCCTGCAACTGTCGAAGCCGCTCCCGTAGCCGGACCACCTCCCAAACCTCCTCCCCAATAGGCATGCCCACCACAGTAAGACCCTCATCCACCCGCTGCATCCCCAATGGCAGTGCCCGCTCCACCTCCTTGCCCTCGTGCTCCCAAAACCGGCACTTGTGTGCCTGCACCTCCAGCCCCACCCACTCCAACCGCTCCCGCAGCACCCCAAAAGCGTCCAGAATCCTAGCCGCTGGCCCCAAAATATAGGTATCGTCTGCATAGCTGAGGAAAAGCAGGTCCTTGAACTCCCTAGTAACCGGCTCCATCACCTGCTGCTGCGTGAACGCGAAAAGAAAAGGGCCGAGCGGGTCCCCCTGCCTCGATCCCCGTGCTGACTCGAGGCTCTGTACGAAAGGGCCTGCTCGGAGGTAAAGGTCGCTAGGTGTCCCATAAAAAACACGCAAGAATGGGATCATCCCTGAGAAAGGCGACTCCCGCAGCCCATCGAACATCACATGACGGTGAAACGAATTGAAGGCGTTTGCGACGTCAATCTGTAGCGCGCACCAGTCGGGGTGAGTGGCCAGCGCTGACCGAAAAGAATGAGTGAGAATCTCCGCCCCGACCCTGGTGCCCGCTCCCAGCTGGTTGCACGGCAGGAAGTAGGAAACCATCGCAGGGCAGAGCGAGATGCAGAGAGCTCGAGCAAGGATACGAGGAAGCACCTCCCCGATCGCCACCGGCCGGACGTCGCCGTTAGGCTTGGAAAGCCCGACTAGGTTGGATGCGGCGAGCCACGGCCGAGCCCGCTCGGGGACCTGTCCCGCCACCCATTGGTTGAACACTTCCAACAAGTGGGAAAGGCAGGAAGGTTCTGTGAGGAAGGTGTCGCGCAGATGCTCTGTGACCCACCCCGATGGCCCTGCTGCTGAAGCTCGAGCGGCTGTATGGATAGCTCTAGCCAGGATGTCGGTCGTGAGTGAAGGCCGCTGAGCAGTATCGATGGTGAAATCGCGGACCCACTGTGGTACCTCGCCAGCGCTAGCCGGGTGCTTCTCTCGCAGCGACTGCACCATGGCCTCAGACGGTCGAGCCAACTCCCCTGCTGTAAGGCAGGCCAATCCTCGGCTCCACTCCCCCACTTTGCACCGAGATCGGCACCGTGACAGGCGGATGGCATCCGGGTCCTGGTCAGAGCAAGTGTAGGAAAGTGGGCGAACTGCTGGCCGCGCCGCCACCATGGCAGAGTCGAACAGCTCCCGCCACCTCCCCTCCCAGAACGCACCCAACCGCTCTGTGATCAGCGCCTTCTGACCTATGCCTGGCTTGGGAGGCACGGCTAGGATAAGGCGCGGAAACGCCAAGAGTAGGAGGGTAGCGGCTTCATCTCCAGGCTGGCTCTTCAAGCGCTTAAGGATGCAACAGAGCGCGTCTAAGACCCCCGACCTGGCCCGCTGTGGGATCCGGCGCACTGTCCTCCCTCCAACCGCCTCCACACTGAAAAAAGTTTCCCATTCCCATGACGTAACCCCAGCCCACGCCTCGTCCCCAAATTCCCGCGGCGTCGATCGCTCCTGCGTGTCGGTCTCCACCAGAGACGGAATCGAGCCGAGAGCCTGTGCACGCCTCTCCGCCTCAGCCGCCCGGCATACCCTCATGTGGTCCGCAGCGGCCCCTCGCGTAGCGAAAGTGTGGAAACACGTGTCACACGGAAAGCGGGGGCATGGGGAAGGCGGCATGGGAGGTTCTTCATCCGCCTCTGACTCCTCCGCAGTCGCCATGGGGGTATCAAACTCCAAAAGTCGACACCACTCCTCCAACTGTTGCTCCTGGTCGTCCATCGATCGCCCCCCTGCTTGCTGCGCTCCTTGGGGTGCCCAGGGCACCCTCGGCTGCCCCTCTGGCTGCTGCGCTCCCTGGGGTGCCCCGGTCACCCCCGGCTGCCCCCCTGCCAGCTGCTCTCCCTGGGGTGCTCCGGGCACCCTCGGCTGCCCTCCTGCCTGCTCCACTCCCTGCCCTCCTGCCTGCTGCACTCCCTG